TGGATGGCTCAGTCAGTTAAGTGTCTGCCTTCGGCTCAGGTCATAATCCCAGCATCCTGGGATCAAGCCAACATCAGGCTCCCTGCTCAGCGGGGAGCCTGCTTCTCCCTCTCCCTCTGTCCCTCCCCAGCTCTCTCTCTCTCTCTCTCTCTCAAATAAATAAATAAATAAATCATCTTTAAAAAAAAAGAAATTTCAAAAATCATAAAAGTAGAAGAAACATCAGAAACTCACCTATGCTGGAGTTTTATACATATGAGGTTAATCTTTTGAAGGATGTAATGAGCAAAGACTCTGTCTTCCAATAAACAAACACTCATCCATCCAACAAACAAGAGTATTGATGACTTTTAAGGTCTCATCCTGCTTTGGGATTATATAGTGTATGAAAACACGTACTTATGCTCAAGAAAATTCTATTCAAGATGGTTAGATGAGGGCGCCTGGGTGGCTCAGATGGTTAAGCGTCTGCCTTCGGCTCAGGTCATGATCCCAGGGTCCTGGGATCGAGTCCCACATCGGGCTCCTGGCTCAGTGGGGAGCCTGCTTCTCCCTCTGACCCTCTCCCCTCTCATGCTGTTTCTCTCTCGCTCGTTCTCTAAAAAATAAAATCTTAAAAAAAAAAAAAAGATGGTTAGATCATATGAGAATCAAAAACTCCTCAAAATCCTCAAGACTCAGTTTTACTGCCTACATTTTATGACTATTTATAAGAAGTCTAGTCAGGGCCATGAAAGTTATTATCATTTTGATCAATGTAGGAAGGAACAGGTCTAAAAGCTGTCATTTAACAAAATAATAATAAATCCCTCATTCATTCATACATTTAATGAATATTTATCAACTGTTGATGATTTGCTAGGTGCCGGGAACAGAGGGGCAATTAGACAGACCACGGACCCTGTCCTCACAGCGTCTAGGGAAGAAGAGCAGGCAGTTGAATGAGTAACAATGAAGTGGGTGAATGTTAAGATGGGATAAATACAAGGAAGTGTGAGGCCATGCAAGGCTCCGTTAAACCTTGTGGGAAGATAAGGTGAAGCTGAGACGTGAAGAATGAGTAAAGATAGCTGATTTTGTGCAGTGTACCTTCTTGCTTCTGTCTTTGCCCCCACTTCCCTAATTCCCTACATGCCCTCCCCAGCTCCTCATTCCTTCTCATCCTCTTGGATTTAGTTTGGGTAGAATGTCTTCAAGGAATTCTGCTCTGAATCCTCCATCTCTACCAGTCTAGAGGGGATACCCCCCCAATGCTGTCACTGAACCCATACATATCTGCATCCACCAGTCCTCTAATTGCCTATATAATCTTGGTGTCTTGTGCTAATAAAATCCAAGAAGAGGTTTCTTTGAAGCTTCTGAGAAGGCTCTTCTAGCCCTCCAAAAAGCCTCTGAAATAGCCCCTTTCACTTGATAGCCATCTTGCTACTAGCCACTGATGCAGCCTGACCCACAGAGAGAGGGAAAAGAATGGAAGGAAAACTGAGTCAAAACTACTGGATTACAATGTTCCTGAATTCCACCTGGACTTTCAGTGGTGTGAACCAACCAATTTCCCCTGTACTAAAGCCATTTGGAATTGGGTTTTCTATTACCTATAGCCAAAAGCAGAGAGACTAATAAAACATTATGGATAGGAATCCTGTCTTTTTCCAACACACTATTTAGTCCATCGGAGTTGTTCAATAAATGCTTCCTGAATAAATGAACAAGGTAATTCAAGGAGAATATCTAACAATGAAATTACTAATTTCATACCTAAATAAAATCAAAAACAAATTCTGTTTTAAAATTGTATTTAGAAAGCCTGCCATTTTTAGAGGTTTTCCTATATTGTAAAGAAAGTACATCTGGTACTCTGCTGTTCTAAGCCTCCCTACTCAGAGCCTTTCATCTCACCCCTCTTGTCCCCTTCATGCCCACAAGGCAGATCCTTTTACTCCCTAATTACCCAGTGTCCTCATATTTCTCTACCCAGCCCACTTTCAAATCCTGTTATCCAGAAAGAGCTGGTAAGCTCATTCATACTGAGTTCTATGGATCTGATTTAAACAAAACGTTGCCATTTCTAGAGATACTTGCAAAATCTAAAAATTTTAGTCTCTCATTATGCAACTTCAGTTATGAGCAAGCAGGTAAAGGAGGCATTTGTGGAGCCTGAGAGCCAACTCGGTGGCCATGAAACAGCAGAAAGAGATGCCTGATTTCCATGAACACAAAGGCAACTCCAGACATTGTCATCAATGGCCAGCCCTACAGATCAACAGGAACCCACTCTTACTTATTTTCTTTTTCTTTCTTATTCATTTTCTTAAAAGCAAATAAATCCGGTAACCAGCGAACTACGTGACCAAGTGATATTCATGCTTCTAAGAAGTTCTGGCTGTAGACTACATCCTTGGAATGGGATTTAACACCATCTGGTCTGTATCCCATTTGTAACTGAGTAACTTCACAAATAGAAGAAGAATCCATAGTAAAAATTCCCCTACCTCCAAATCCTATTAGCTAAATAAACAACACTTGATTTACTCCATCTATGAACAAACTCAAGATATTATAGACCCCAAACTCAGATAAAAACTACTCTTAAAAAAGAAAAAGTAGATGTCCCTACATAAGTGTTCCAATCTAGAGCAATTAAAAATTGCTTTGGCGGGGTGCCTGGGTGGCTCAGGTCGGTTAAGCATCTACCTTTGGCTCAGGTCATGATCCCAGGGTCCTGGGTTCCAGCCCCGCATCGGGCTCCCTGCACAGTAGGGAGTCTGCTTCCCCTTCTCCTTCTGTGCTCTCTCTCACTCTCTCTCAAATAAATAAATAACCTTTTAAAAAATTGCTTTGGCTACTTTTTATTTTGCAAATCAGATATTCCAGAACCACCTTTATTTCCAAACATAAAAGCATCCCACTGCACACCTCAACAGAATTGCCTCTATATCCTTAATGTCTTTCCAAGCAATTTTATGCAGTCAGCACCCTATACATTAGGGAAAGAATGGATGTATGCTCTATGGGTTTCTTATAATAGCAATGAACTTTCATAATCAGACCCATTCCTTGATTTTGCTTACTTTTCTATGCAGCTACATTAATACTACATTGTCAGACAAAGACAAGAATGAACATGAGACTTGAGTTAAAAAACAACAACAACAACAACAATATAGCCATCCAAGAAACAACTGCTGAGCTTGTGAAAAAAACAGCTCCCATTTTATTAAATAATAGTGTTCATGCAGGGATGTCTGAAGTACTCTGCAAGGCTGATTAGGACAGATCAATGTACACTTACCTCTCCAGAAGGCTGAAAGGTGTGTAGTGACTATGTGTCATTAAAAATTTACTTGACCATGGGCATCAGATGTGCATGAAAGAATGACCCTGGTGAGCACTCTAAGTTTCCATTTTACTCATGTCATCCTCAATGCATCAAAAATGCTGTAGACACCATTACTATCACCCAGCCTCATAACAGCTGATGTGCTATATATGTTTGAGAGGGTGGTATCAATTAACTATATTATCCATAAAGCCATACTTGCAATTACTACCACTTCACAATTTATCATTAACACATTTGGCAGATTTTTTTCCAAAGTAACATTTATTTAAAGGTTAATCAAAATTCTTAGAACAGCATTTATTATAATGTGATTTTTGATAATTGACTAAATCAGTGGCTCTTAAGAAAAACACCCTTGTCTCAGTCCTGCTCAGTATACGCCACAGTGCCATTTGGGGAAAAGAAATACATATTAGAAATGTTCATTTCAGACCTCGTCATGGAAGATCATATATTAATGTAATCAGGTGGTACATTTACATGCTCATTAGTAATCCATCATTAGTCCAAATGCTCACTATTAGGAATAAATGTACAACGAGTTATTCAGAATACCCAGAAATAGTATTTCTTATTTAAACATTCAGAATAAGCTGACTGAAATAAGTGCACACCTTGAATTTGAACTTTCAAGGCACATCACTAAAGTCAATCAGTTATGTCAGGACACTCTTCTATAATAATCTCAATTATAAAATTCCTGCCCCTCCCTAACAGGGAGGTAGAGTTCTAATATCTGAATCTTTTGAATTCACTACAACTGCAAAAATTCCTGATGAAGTGTGTGTTTAAATTTTATGCTTTAATACATAGCATGCCACTAAAACTACATTAGTTATGCTTTATGCTGTTTAATCATATGTCAAAATCTATAAAATCTCTTCTAGCATGCTAAGGTAATCTAACTGCAATTAATCAATCAAGAAAATAAATAAAATGTAATAAATGCCAAATAATGTAACTTCTTTAAAAACAAACCACTATCTACACATTTATTCTAAAAATACTTACTAACCAACACCAATGGAGGAAAAACAGAGTGAAAATTAGGCTTGCTGAGTCTTTTTCCCATTAGTAGCTAGCTTTCTCTAAACTTACAGATGTTTTCAAGAGGTCTCTGGCATGATCTGACTTTCCAACTAAAATGTAAGCAGCTTGAGGGTCAAAACTTACCTTTTTTATCCCATGTCCAACACAATGTGTTAATCATAACAGGTGTTTGTTTAGTAATTTTTTATTGAATGAAAGAATGAATGGTTCCAAAATCCACAAACTAGGTTCTTTCATCATAATGTTTGGGACCTGTAATAACAGTCATACTTTTTCTTCTGACAAAAATTGTATATTATACTTTGTTGGTATTTAACCAAAGGTAGTAGTGCTCTTTTCATTGATTCTCTCCTTTTCTCAGAGTCAGTTAGGAACCAACAAGGAAAGGTAGTGGAAGTGTTTGTATTTCTTCCTCCAAATGAAAACAGCGATGTTCTTTCCAAGGATGTAATTTAACAGTTTGATAGATACAGATTTGACCCAAGACTAGGAAAGTCAACTATAAGTCATGGACCCAGTCAGCAAGGATTTATTAAGCATCAACCGCATGGCCTGCACTAGGCTAGTAACTACAAATACACCAAAGGAGTCAAAAGCATGCATGTACCTGCTTTCCAGATGAGAGGAAAAGACATATATGTGTGTGTTCATTCAGTAAGCATTATTGGCTACACTTTACTCCATACAAGGCACTAATGGGGAGGAGGACAGCCAACAAATCTGTTTTCAACAAGCGGATAACAAAGAAATTGTTACATACAGTAACTGTATGTCAAGCAGAAAGTCATGAGTATCTCTGAAAAATTACAAACTAATTCCCATTGGAACCCTAGGAGAAAAAGCTGGCAAAATCATGGGAAGTGTGTAAAAAGAGATCAAGAAAATGTCCAAGATAACATAAATAAGTGCATTTACTAGTAATGAAAGAATTGAAAGTAAGCATCCAAAAGTTTTCAGAGTAAGTTGCTCACTTTCTTGATAATGACTGAAGTTATTTTTTCTTCTCATCAAATTAGTTTCGGTGACATAAAATGGTAACTTCTGAATTAATGACCACCCAGTACAAAAAACACTGACGAATTTTCCTTTCAAGATCCCTGGTGGTAACTGCAGCTGAGAAATCTCAATACTGAAAGTATCACCAGGATATTACAACAAACAAGAGTTGCCCCTCCCACTGCCAACCCACCCACCCACATGTGGCTATTGAGCGCTCAAAATGTGACTTATCCATTCTTTTTTTTTTTAAGGTTTTATTTATTTATTTACTTATTAGAGAGAGAGAGAGAGAGAGAGAAACAGCATGAGAGGGGAGAGGGCCAGAGGGAGAAGCAGGCTCCCCGGGACTCTGGGATCATGACCTGAGCCGAAGGCAGTCGCTTAACCAACTGAGCCACCCAGGAGCCCTGAAATGTGACTTATCCAAACTGAGTTGTGTTATAAGCGTAAAATACAAACTTGACTTCAAAGACTTAGTTTAAAAAGAAAAAAAAAGAATGTAATCAATATAGAAAAAAATTTTATATTGATTACCTATTGAGATAATATTTTTTTGGATATACTCAGTGGAAATAGATATTACTATTTTCACATGTATCTTTTTACTTTTTACTCTGGATACTAGAAAATAATTGGGCAGTACTAGTCTAAAGTCATTTTGAAAAATAATTTTTTGAAGTATCTCATGCTAGAAAGAAAGCATAACGTTCAGCAACATGCACTGGTATTTTAATATGATTATCTGATAGAAAAATGTTGCTATAATGAGTCACTCAATTCCTCCCCAAAATACGCAGCTAGGAAACCAAGAGCTTCTCTCTAGATGACCTGAATCTTTGTGCCACTCTGATCTAACAGGAAGTGACATCAGTTTTTATGCCTTCCTTTTTCTCTGATTGGCAGAACACTTGGGCCTAAAGTTCAGTTTACTCCACTGCAGGCTTCTTAGGGAGGGCCTTGGTTTTCTGCTTCAGTTTTACCCCACCCCCTCTTTATTACTTGCCTTGGTTCTGCCCCTTACTTTAACGGTCCTATTGTAAGGTACAAAAAAAAGCTTTTTGGAACTAAGAGCTAAATAGCATATAAAAAAGTGAATGAGGGGCGCCTGGGGTGGCTCAGTCAGTTAAGGGCTGCCTTAGGCTCAGGTCATGGTCTGGGGGTCCTGGGATCAGCCTGCCCTGCATTGAGCTCCCTGCTCAGGGGCGGGGGGGGGTCTGCTCCTGATCCCTCTCCTTCTGCCCCTCCCCAGCTCTGCTCCTGCTCTGTCTCTCACTTTCTCTATCTCCCAAATAAATAAGTAAATAAAATCTTTAAATCCTTACTAGGATGTAATCAGTGGGGAGACTCATCACATCGGTGACCCTTCTCCTTGTTACAGGTGTGAAGCATGATGCATGTTTAGCAATAGCCGACCGGTACTCACATTTGAGATCATAAAAACAGAGGTGACCCCATCCATGGCGTCAACCAAGAGTCAGTGAGGTAGACAGGCACAACATTCAAAGGGCACAATGAGTGCTTAAGTCATATGTGCAGCTATAAGTAATATGGTGTCATATCAGAGAAAAAAGCAACTATCTGAATACCTAGAAATCAGGCAGTGGTGGTCATTACCAGAGCTGATCATATGCTGCAAGACACCACAGCACAGAGTGAGGACATAGAGACCACACTCAAAGATCCAAGGAGACCTGGCAGAAGCCTAGTCCCATAAAGAGACAAAAGGATATAATATCTGTGACTAGGGGCCACACAGGCCCCTGGGACCAGGCTCAGGGTCATGGCCTCCCAGATCTAGTGGACCATACAGATTCCAGTTGAGAATTAACAGTAATATGGAGCCCAGCAGCTGTAACTGAGCTACTAGATGTGCCCAATGAGGAAGAAAAAGTCAAAGGCTCTACATATGCTTCCTATTGTTGTTGGATTTGGTCCAGGGACCGATGGGCTTGGCTGCAGGTGGAAGCACCAGTCCATTCAATTCAACTTTGTTCATGCAGATGCAGGGCAAGGAAGGAAGATGATGGCAGTGTCTCTTTCTTTATAAAGTAGAGGAATAATATTGGTTCCTACACAACTCCTATTCTAAAATTAATGCTTCAAGGATATTTAAGCTACTTTAAAAAAAAAAAAAAAGCTTGCCAAATTTATGAAAAATCCACTGCTTCCTGTTAATCCCTATTCCTCTCCAAGAAATGCTTATAATATTATTTAATAGTGTTATAGATTTAGACTAACACAGTACAATCTTAAGGTTGTAGGAAAAGTATAGAATATGTGGAATGTTATGTAACCTTTAGAGCCCTTATAATAAACGCATTTTAAATAAATGAATAAAACAAGGGGGCACCTGGGTGGCTCAGTCGTTAAGCTTCTGCCTTTCGGCTCAGATCATGATCCCAGGGTCCTGGGATAGAGCCCCGCATCGGGCTCCCTGCTCAGTGGGAAGCCTTCTTCTCCCTCTCCCACTCCCCCTGCTTGTGTTCCCTCTCTTGCTGTGTGTCTCCCTTTCAAATAAATAAATAAAATCTTTAAAAAAAAAAAAAAGAAAGAAGTATGAACTTTCTCAGATCTACAGACACGACAGGATACAGAAAAGATCATGCATGGTCATACAACAAAATCAGGACCACACAGTCACAAATTACCAGAAGGCAAGAACTATTCTAAATCAACTGTACTATTCACATGGACTTGTATGTTTTCTTAAAAGTGCTAAAGGATTCAGCACACAAATAAAAAGTTTTTATTTCAGAAAATAAAAATTAATAAAATGTTAAAATGAAAAGTAGTACACATTTGGCCACAACAACAACAACAACAAAAAAAAAAATGAAGAAAAGTCTCAGGATCTGATCAATAATAAATGACCCGTTCAATCTAAAATATATTATCTGGGGACACCTGGGTGGCTCAGTCGGGTAAGCGTCTGCCTTTGGCTCATGTCATGATCCCAGGGTGCTGGGATCGAGCCCCGCATTGGGCTCCCTGCTCTGCAGGGAGCCTGCTTTTCCCTCTGCCTCTCATCGCTTCTCGGCCTTTTGGCTAAGATCAAGTGTTCCCTCTGCCTCTGCCCCTCCCCCTGCTTGTGTGCTCTCTCTCTCTCTGTGTCAAATAAATAAAATCTTTTAAAAACAAATAAATAAAATATATTATTTCTATCTCAGCAAAATTAAAAAAAAAAAAAAATGGACCAAGACTCTGCCACTGCATCAACTTTTTAAAAAAGGATGAGTTCAGAAGAACTAAGTGTGAATTTCACAAAGTAGATGTAGGTAATTTCAAACTGGCTACTATGTTGATAAAGGTAAATGATGCAAATCAGAGCTGCCTCTACACACACACCTTGAGATTCTAATTCAGGGAGACTCAGAGAGATGAAAAACTATACCAACAACTTCTGCCCAGGGAATGTTCCAATAACACACTTAGATCCAGACTCAGATCCCCTCCTTAGTCCAAGGGCAACCCCAAAGAGGCCTTCCTGACACCGAGAGGTGGGGTGAATTTCTTCAACAACAACAACAAATAAAATAAAAACATTTCCAGCTTACATGTGCTAAACCTGCCTATTCGTGGTTTTGTGAAACTTAGACACAGCCTGGTAAAAATTCTAAGACAACTGAGTTGTCACAATGTGACAAGAGCATTAATTCATATTGAGTCACTTTCGTAGTGCTTCTTACTAAAGACCAACAAAACTAAAATACGTCCCCTAACATATCAGAAATAATGTATTTTCTACTTAGTTCCAAGGGAAAAAAAACTTTTATAACTTAAGAAAACTCAAAATATGTGACAATCTGTCACTGAATTAAAGTAAGTTATAATAACAAGTGACAATGCATGCATAATGCCCACTGCAGTTATGTGTTCATCTTCACATACAAAGGCTATTTCTCAATGGTCAGAGTAAAGCTTTGGCTAAGGTGCTGATGGCAGGATAGGGCTTGAGAAGAACCAAAGCTATGCGTAATCCAAAATCATTGGTAAATAAATCTGGAATGAGTCTTTGAACTTACAGTTGAACGTGTTGTGTGAACACGAGACTCCTGTTACTTTATCCATACTCATTTTCATAAAATGTTTGCCTTGTATGGTTGGTACTTTACTGAGGCCCCAGTGAGCAGGGCATATCACCATGGGTACTGGAGGTCAGGGAGGGTCAATTATGAGCATGCCACAATTCCATTACTGCTAACACACGCCCCTCAAACAGAGGCAGGGGACCTGACTGGGACCATTTAGGAAACAAGGGAGTAGTAGAGACATTGTCTCTTGACTTGGGAATAGGAGCAAGGCATCCCTCTCTCTCTCTCTCTCTCTCTCTCTCTCTATATATATATATATATACTCTGTATTACCACCCCTTAACTGAGTATTATTATAGTGTGTTGTAATTGACTATTTGGTTCCCCACATCCTTCATGAAATCGCAAGATTTTTCAGAAAAAAAAATTTTGAAATACTTAAAAATTCACAAGAAAGTGCAAGGAAATGTACTATCTGTGTACCCATTCCCTAGCCCCTAGCCCCAGCCCCACTGTTAAGATCTTGCATAATTACAATATCAAAACCAGGTAAGTGATATTGATATAATGCATAGTTTATTCATATTTCAGCTGTATACATGTATTTATTTGTGTTTGTGTGTGTATGTGTGTATAGCCATATACAACTTTATCACATGTGTAGCTTTGAGAAACCACTACCACAATCAA